GCAGCGGCTGTCCGAGTCGAACGACCCTCATGAACAGGCTATACACCGGAACCTCCGGACACTAGTGGAGACCACCGCCGTTTAACAAGCGGAGAGCTCCGTAACGCGATGCCGACTCGCAGCCTCGCTCCCCGTCAACAGTATATGCAGATGCCGACATTTGCCATACCCAAAACAAGACGACATAACCTCCTACATACAACCGACATCCAACAGTGTTGTAGGCGCCTACCATCCTCCTGTACCCGTCGGCGTGGGTAACAAGATTTAGAAGCATACGAACTCTCTTCCTCTCACTTGTAAGGCCATCCCCTTCATCTATAAAAGGGGATATGCTCTCTCCCAATATTAAGTTGATTCAAGTTCATACAAGTCATTTCAGATTCATTAGATCGACCAAGTTGACTAGCTCACAACCATAGAACCGTCAGGTTCGGACCTCAAGCACACGCTTGAATACATAGCTCATAGCGGAGCTCCTGTCGCTCTCGACCCTTCCGACCGGATCCAACCGGACCTCTTGTACACCCCATCTTTCCCCTTCTTGTTTGTAACCCCACTGCAAACTTCGAGCACCTAGGCTCAGAAATAAAGTCACCGACCGACTCAAACTGGACGTAGGGCACGTTGTCTGAACCAGTATAAACCCTGTGTCATTGAGTGCTAGGCCACCTCCGATCACAACGTACGATAAAAGTACAAATATTTACTTGTTGGTCACTTTCTGCACCGACAAAAAGGCTCTTGAACTTTACACGCTCGAAAGCGTGCAGTTGCCTTAAAGCATCTCCAAGAGTTCACTAAACCTTCTCCTAATCCTTGATTTTTAAAAAGAAGTGAAAAAATTTCTCTCCAACAACTCTTAATACAACCTCCTAATATTTTAGAAGTTGGGAAAAATCCCCCTCGTTCGCGTAAAACTACGCGGACTCTTGTCGCGTGGAAAGAGGTTCCTTCGCCTCGTCCATCACCAGTTCGCGAGTTCCTTCGCGTCGTCCAACGCTCACCGTCGAGGGTAGACGACGCGCGGATGAGCTTGACAGCTGGGTACACGTACTCCATCGATCTTCCTTGTTTTGTTGTGGGCTTGCTAGTGCGCCGCCGCCGCTAGGTTGGCCTTGCCCGCGCAATCGGTGTGTGCTTCTTTGATTGCCGGATTGCCGTGGACTGCTGGTGTCCAGTTGATCGAGCTAGCGTCATGCATGTCCAGCCCAGTTGCCTCCGAGATTGCCTGACGAAGGACGGGCGCGAGTCGCGACGGCTGCAGGCGCGTGCTAGTTGTACATGTACCGATGTATATCTAGGCATGAGTAGCGACATGCAGATCGATGATGCATCTCCACGATGCGGTGGTCAGAGTCGAAGGGGCAAGCCGGCCGGCTGTGTGCTTCAGCTTCTTTTCGCTGATTGCACTAAACTGATGGTTCCTGCATGCTACTGTAATCCTAGTAGATGGCCGGTAACTATTGCTGCGGCTGCCGATGGCTAGCTTGTTCCTGCTACTAGCTGATATCTAGCCGATGCACGCGCATGAATGCTGGTGGTGCCGGCCTGCTAGGCGGTGGTCACGGCCGGCTGGGACTGCATGGCTAGGGCACAAGCCGCACGACGAAGGAAGGAGGAGCGGCGGTGGTGTCGAAGAAAAAAAAATTCAAGTGGCACCAAATTTATTTTTTAGAGTAGAATACTGGGTACTGTTGGAGATGAAATTCTTTTTTTCTCTTAATATTTTTTTAAGCTGAAAAACATGGTGTTTTTAGGAAGAAAAAATAGAAAACTCTAGACTTAGAGCTCGTTCGATTGAACTTTTGGTAACTTGAAACTGAAGCCGCACCTGTTCGCTGTCTTGCCTTTTTTTTCCCTTCTGGACGGATCGGAACCGCTTGGCTTTCTTTTCGGTGGATGGGCTTTGTTGTACTTGACGGGGAAAGGGTGACGACTGACGAGGCCCTCACGAGCTCCCCACACCGCAAGTGAAAGAACAAAAATGGTAGCTCCGTAGCTAGTTTCGAATGTCGGTTACTCGATCTTCATCTCATCTATATGATCTGTCCCAGCTTCTCTGTTTCATCGTACGTACTGTTGTTTATAAATTCTTCTAAAACCATACTCCCTCTATAAAAAATATATATATATAACTATGAGTTGCGTGACAGTTAAAGTAATTCACGTTTGATCAAATTTAAATCAACTTATTGTATTATATAATTAATCAAATGGTTTTTATTTGATATCATAAATATTGACATATTCGTTCTATAATTATTTAAAATTAAGATATTAAAACATAACACTATTGTAGAATTATATTATTTTTGGGACAGGGGAGTACTAGTCATGCGCACAGTTTGATCATGAACAATCTGAAATTGGTACTGGAAATATCGAACATGAGTATGGATGTTCTAAATTATACTATACATACATATATAATGGCAAAAAGATGTGCACTCCTTATATGCAAATGAGTCTTCACTCATACCATTTTATTTGACGCACATGTATATCAAGATTCAAACTTTGAAAACTTTGATCAATAATTAGGCTAATAATTTTTAACTATTATAATACAAACTTTATATGATTAGATTTGTAAGAAATTATACTATCCAATGATTATAAGTTTATAAACATAAATAATATAATATAAAGTAAATGAATGGTCAAAGTGTAATTATCGGGGTTATAACCCCGGGTATCTCTGGGCACCGATTAGTTAGCAGGCCACATGGCCCGCAATACGTCAGTTGGCGAAGGCCCGAACGACCGACGCCCAGCCGAGCCGAGCAAGCCAGGGCGGATGCTATGGCCAGGGTCGGCCATGACCTCTTCCTCCTGCCTTAGCCGCACGACGCTCGAAAGGCACGCGACCTCACCCCTGCCACAGCCCCTGAAAGGGACGGGGAGAGGTCGAGCCCCCCCAAGTATAATTACTGTGGCGAGGGCAGGCACGCCTCACTGACCCCGCAAGGCCCGAGGGGACAGCAATCACCTCGGTCCAGTCAGATGTCAGCCCTGCGCCACAAAGATCAGACAAGACAACACTGCCCCGAGACGGTGACGGCAGGCACGATGACCACTGCCAGATACGGCCCGACAAGACGTATGAACGATCTCACCCACTACGGGATGGGATCCACGACGCGTCCTCAACTTAAAAGACAACGCGGACCGACGGGAGCCACGACCCTAACGATCGGAATCGTGGCCTCAGCTCCTCAGCGACGACAAGGCGATCAAAGACCTGGGACGACCACCTACTCTTGTACGATGCCCCTGGGAACTAGGAGACGATGACGAAGGCCACAACGGACACCGTATTGTACAGGACAGCTGACGAACCACCATCGAGGCTATAGTGCCGCCACGGCTGGCACAATAGCGCCACGTCACATTCTGCCGCAATGTGGCCAGAAGACCATGCCGATAGCCACGACCGGACGTGCACCAGAAGACGGCGTAGCTTACAAGCCAAGTTAGGTAGGCCCTTCCTCAGGCTCTCGACCCCTCGGTCGGGAGAACCTTCTCTTTGTACTAGCCTTGGCCCCGAACTCTATATAAGGGCAGCCAGGGCACCCATCTCGGGGACGATTCACATCCTCTACCATTCCATTCATTCACCATTGTAGTAGGGCTCCTAGAGCTTCTCTTCGGGCAGCCCTTCGCCTAGCATAGGTCCTTCCATCTCTTCCACCTTTCTTGCACCCCAATTGTAAGAACTTTAGAGCATTCGAACATGCACTCGATCATCTCTAAGACTGGACGTAGGGCTTCGGCCTGAACCAGTATAAATCCCCATGTCTATTGAATGCTACCATCGTCTTCCTAAAATAGTGTGGTAATTGTATAAGTTTATTAGTCCGGTTTACAAAACACCGACAGTAATGTAGGAGACCGTATCATTCTCACTTGCGCCAGATAAAATGAACCGAGGGAGTATTTGTTCGGTACGCATTTTTTTTAGCTCCCAAATAAAAATGCACGGGCAAAAGTGACATCACATATGGCCGGTGACTAGCCTCTAGGTATGGCATTTGTGTGACATCTATGTCTCTATATGGATTGACAAACAATTTATGAAAATTTACTCCCCTATTATAAACTGAAAATAATTCTATATCTCACTTTCCAAGGAGCTAACTTTATTGAAATTTGGCTAGATTTATAAAGATATTATCAATATTTATATCTTCTAATATTTTTATCATCAAAGTATGTATACCGCTAATGATACTGATTACGTATAAAAAAACATTAGTGTAGTTTTTGTACATTTGATTAAATTTAAAAAATGACTCATCGAGAAGTATATTTGCAGCTATTTTAGAACCAAGAGAGTAGATGAACAAGTAGACACGTCATCATATACTAACTGAGACCAACTTTCTGGAGTAGATAGATATAGATCGTCGTCCTCCGACACGTAGAAGCACGCAATGTTCTCTCACAAAAAGGAAAACCAAGTAGAGTAGTCTAGTGATGCTGATCCCTCCCTTCGATTTTGATCCTTCGTTTAATATGTCCGATGCCATGTTCGACCCCTTTGTTCCGATTTGATCCATCCAAAGTCATGTTCACTTTCCTTTCGGCAGGCGGTTAAAGAACCGGAGTCTGAGCCAATTGGTTAAATCAGTAGTCCCTCCGTTCCAAAATAAAAGCGAGATTTAAATGTTTTCCTAAATTAATTGGCACATATATATATATATAGGTCATTAAGGCCCAGCCAAACAGCACAACAACAGCTTTCCGCCATTGTGGACCGAGAAAAGAAAATCTCGTAAAAAAAAGAGAGAGAAAAAAAAAGAGGCTCCATCCAGAAGCTGCCCGTGATTTCATCCTGCCGTCCACTCTCGCATAGGCATCGTCTCCCTCCGCCGCAGCATCCATTCGTTCCCCTTCCCCTTCCCCTTCCCCTTCCCTTCCCCAGCCACCTCACACCCCCGTACAGCTGCGAGTTTGATCCTTCTCCTTCCTTACCAGAGCAGTTCCCCTATGCGTGCATGGCCAGAGGGAGCGGGATCCGTCGGCGTAGCCGCTGGATGCGTCGAGGCGGCAAGATGCCTGGCGCTGGCGTCGCTGTAATGAAGCCCCATGGCGGGGGCGTTGTCAAGCATGCTGGCCGTGGGATCCGTAGGCGCAGCGGTGATGGGAGCCTCGGCCAAGTCGTCAACGCAGGCAGCGCCGACTCCGAGGTCGAGCAGGCAAGCAGCACCGATTCGGCCAGCGAGGGATGGATCTACGTGCGTGGCCATCGAATCAAGAAGGCTGGCCTACATATCGACTGCCACGGCAACGTGTACGTCCCCGACTCGGAAGCTGAAGAATCCGGCACGGAGGAGCCGGAGGCGTGTGGCCTAGATGTCACCGCGGGCATGGATCTCGCCGTGGACCTGACCCCCAAGGTTCACGACGCTGTCGGCGTGGAGCGGGTTCCTGAGGGAGACGCGGTCGGCGCCGCCGTTGTGGACCAGGTCCCTGATATGGCCGCCGGTCATGCTCGTGACACTGTCTTCAACAAGCTCGAGTCAAAAATACAAAACCCATTCCTCTTCGACAGAGGCGCTGCCGTCGTGAAACAACAACGACAAACGTTTTAAGTCCCAAACAAGTTAATTATAATCTAAAATATAAGATTCATTCCTCAAGACAAATTCGATCTTTGATAACGCTACAGGCAAGAGGATCAATAACTATTTTTTCTCCTCCAATAACAAGACACAAAAGATAACTCTTTCTATAAATAGTTCTTCAGAAGAGAGATACTCAGATCTATGTTATACATATTTTATGACATCTAAAATGGGTCTTCCATATATGTACTCTGTTGGAGGCTATATATATTGTGTTGGAGATCTATTTTGGATTTAGGTTCTACAATAGATCTCTTGTTGAAGACAGCCTCACGAGGATCTGCTCGTTAAGGGGCTATGTCTAGGCTCTGTTTGCCTGTCTTATGAGCCGTATTTTTTCAGCGAAGGAACAACGTTTTCCTCTTATAATAAATCAGCGAAAATTACTTTTCGCCTGGGTTGATCTAGAATAAGTAGAGGCTTTTTATAGTGAGGCAATGACGTCAATTCAAAATTTGTAATTTGGGCATAATGACGCTAGACTTGTAGTACTGGAACATTCCGTGCTATACTACATGACCATGAGCTTGTAGCACTAATATTTTTTTATATCTGTCACCTCGTTGGTTTGTGTTATGACCGGCGTCTACTATAATAGGCCCAGGCCCATTAGTGGCTAGATGAGGATGCCAGCTTTAGGGGCTAACAACTCATATTAGTATTATTACCTATTTATTGTATTTATTCCTTAATTATAGGATTTTAGAGAGGATAAACACTCTGTAAACAATTGAGATTGGAATTAAGCAGAAGCAACCTAATTGTTGCCGGCTTACATTGGGAGCCCTAGCCGCACCTTCTCCTCTTCCTTGCGTCGTGATCACCATGGCGCCAACCCGCCGCCGCTGCCCTAAACCTCGCCCGCCTCTCTTCTATCCCAACAACCTTCGCAGCAACTCCGGTAGGGCATCTAGTCATATCAATCTGGTATCAGCTATGTCAGGCCCTCTTTCCACCTCCACCAGCCCACCGCTGCTGCCGCGAATCACCACTGCTGCGCAGCTGCTGCCATCCGCTTCGGCGCCCGCTCCGTCCTCTACAATGTTGATGGACCAGATGGCCGCGGCCATCCACGAGCTGACCGGTTCCATGGCCGCGATGCAGTCCTACCTCGCCTCGCAGCAGCCACTACCCCCCCCCGCGCGCACCACCACCGCCGCCGCCGCGCCGCCCAATCGACAATGGTCTCCCTGCCGCCGGTGTTCCCTGCTGGGAGCCCCTAGTCCAGTGCAACCGGCGTGCCCATCCATCTACTGCGGATGCCGCCCTCCTCGTCGCCGATCCCATCGTATGCCCTGGCCCCGACGGTAGGGCCGGTGTATACGATGGTAATGTTTCCGGCGACCATGACGTTGGCTACCTCGGCCCCTACCACAGGCGCCCTGATCCACTATGGTGGGGGGGGGTACAACAGCCCTCCTACACCGAGGGGGTTTTCTATGGAGGCGTTGATGGCCCTCTACTCTCCGGCGGCAACATGCAGCACCACCACGGCGCCTCGTCGTACGCAGCCTTTGCTCCAGAACCAGCAGCTCCGGGTGTCAGCCACGGCGCTCACCCTCCGCGCTTCTACTAGTTGGAGTTCCCCACATACGATGGCGCTGAGGATCCCCTCAATTGGCTCAATCATTGTGACCAGTTCTTCCGCGGGCAGCGTACCCTTGCCTCGGACCGCACTTGGCTCGCGTCGTACCATCTCACCGGTGCGGCCCAAACATGGTACTACGCCCTCGAGCAAGACGAGGGCATGCCTACGTGGGAATGTTTCAAGGAGCTGCGCAATCTGCAATTTAGGCTGGCTATTCGGGGCACATGTTTATCCAAACTTGCTCACCTGCCCTTCACCTCCATGGTACAGGACTACTCCGAACGCTTCAATGCGGTGCTCTGTCATGCTCAGAACCTCTCTGCATCCCAGAAGGCGGAGTTGTTCGTGGGCGGCCTTCCAGAGCACATTAAGGTCGACGTGGAGCTGAGGGAGCCCCAGAACCTCCAAACGGCCATGTATTTAGCCAGGGCCTTTGAGCGCCGCGCCGCTGCCACGACGCCGGCCACTGCTCAATGTGGCGCCTGGCCTCCTCAGCGCCCGGGCATCCCAGCGCCACCACGGCCTGCTGTAGCGGTACCAGCAGTCCCGGGGGTGGCCACAACTCACGCACCAGCAGGCATTGCAACCCCTGCTCGTCCTTTCCATCGGTTGTCCCTAGTGGAGCAACTGGAGCGTCGCCGCCAAGGTCTCTGCTACAATTGTGATGAGCCCTATGTGCGCAGTCATGTGTGCCAGCGCCTATTCTACCTCGAAGCGGCAGATTACCTTGATGATGACATCCCAGCAGAGGTGGCCGCTGTGGCTGCTTTTCTAGAAGAGGCTGCTGTGCTTGCGCCTACACCAGCAGTGGGGCAGGAACCTATAGCCCAGCCTCAGGTGTTCCTCTATGCCATTGCTGGCATCTCGACCGAGAATGCTATGCTCCTTCTAGTCTCCGTACATGGCCATCGGCTTGTGGCACTCCTCGACTCTGGCTCGACGCACAACTTCATCAACGCTGATCTCCTGCGCCGTCCACACCTCTCTATAGCACCGCACCCTACCATGCGGGTAATGGTGGCCAACGGCGATCGTGTGCCTTGCGAAGGTGTCGCCCAGGATATGGCCCTGGCCATTGGTACAGAGGAGTTCACCATCAGCTGCTATGGCATCAGCCTAGGTGGTTTTGATCTTATTCTTGGCGTCGAGTTCCTACGTACCCTCGGTCCTATCCTCTGGGATTTCGAGGATTTGTGCATGGCTTTCACACGGGGCGCCCGACGCATTCTATGGAAGGGCCTGGGGTTCCCCCGCGACGACATCCGAGAACCGGTAGCGCGGGCAATTGCTGCTGCCACCTCCCTGCCACTACTGGACCGGCTCCTGGAGCAGTTTGAGCCGTCTTCGCCGAGCCACAGGGGCTCCCCCGATGCGGCCGTATGATCACCGCATCCACCTATTGCCGGGTTGAAAGGTCCTGATGGCTAGAACGGGGGGGGGGTGAATAGCCTATTAAAAATTTCTACAACAACACTTAACAATCCTGTTAGACAATTATGAGACAAAGCAAGCGTTACGCTAGCCTACTAAAAATGCAAGCCACCTACCACAATTTTAGTTTCTATTGTCTCTAACTACACAATAGCTATGGCACTACACTAAGTTAGTGTGCTCTCAAAGACTAACTAAAGTGCCACACTTACCAAACTAACAAGCTCTCACAACTAGCTACACTAAAGAGCTTGATAACTAGTTTGCGGTAATGTAGAGAGAGAGAGCAAGATAGTTATACCGCCGTGTCGAGAAGTGAACCAATCAATCACAAGAGTCAATATCAATGAAGATCAATCACCTCGGAATCAAATGATGAACACAATGATTTTTACCGAGGTTCACTTGCATGCCGGCAAGCTACTCCTCGTTGTGGCGATTCACTCACTTAGAGGTTCAAGCGCTAATTGGCATCACACGCCAAACCCTCAATAGAGTGCCGCACAACCAACACAAGATGAGAATTACACAAGCCACGAGCAATCCACTAGAGTACCTTTTAGCTCTCCGCAGGGGAAAGATCAAGATCCCCTCACAATCACCACGATCGGAGCTGGAGACAATCACCAATCTCCATTCGACGATCCTCGCTGCTCCAAGCCGTCTAGGTGGCGGCAACCATAAAGAGTAACTAGCGAATCCCATAGCGAAATACGAACACCAAGTGCTTCTAGATGCAAACACTCAAGCAATGCACTTTGATTCTCTCCCAATCTCACAAAGATGTTGAATCTATGATGGAGATGAGTGGGAGGGCTTTGGCTAAGCTCACAAGGTTGCTATATCAATGCAAATAGCCAAGAGAGTGAGCTTGAGTCGGCCATGGGGCTTAAATAGAAGCCCCCACAAAATAGAGTCGTTGTACCCCTTCACTGGGCACAACACGGGGTGACCGGATGCTCCGATCATATTGACCGGACGCTGGACCCCAGCGTCCGCATCGTCGATGCACGCCACGTGTCTCCTTTCTTCAAATATTGAGCTCCCAATCCCAATGGTCAAGTGATGACCGGACGCGCTGCTGCAGTGTGACCGGACGCTGGACCTCAGCGTCCGGTCGTTTCCAGTAAGCATCTAGAAGCGAGAAATCACGACCGGACGCGTCCGGTCACTCGGCGTCTCCTTTGTGCGCTGCCACGTTAGCAGGACCGGACATACCCCTCCAGCGTCCGGTCACTAAGTGACCCAGCATCCAGTCAGAGACCGACACCAGCATCTTCGCTGCTTCAACTGACCGGACGCGCCGGTCCTACCGAGACCAGCGTCCGGTCACTTACAGTGAGCTCCATCTTTTCAGTAAAGGGCGTCGGTGGCACCGTCGGACTATCCGCCAAGTGTATCACCTTGTGCACATGTGTAAGCATATTTTCACAAATATTTTCTAGGGTGTTAGCACACCACTAGATCCTAGATGCATATGCAATGAGTTAGAGCATCTAGTGTCACTTTGATAACCGCATTTCGATACGAGTTTCACCCCTCTTAATAGTACGTCTATCGATCCTAAATGTGATCACACTCACTAAGTGTCTCGATCACCAAAACAAAATAGCTCCTACCATTTTATACCTTTGCCTTGAGCCTTTTGTTTTTCTCTTTCTTCTTTTCAAGTCCAAGCACTTGATCATCACCATGGCATCACCATCATCATGTTATGATCTTCATTTGCTTCACCACTTGGAGTGTGCTACCTATCTCATGATCACTTGATAAACTAGGTTAGCACTTAGGGTTTCAGCAATTCACCAAAACCAAACTAGAGCTTTCACGGGTATAGCTCCGGTCGCCGTTCGCCCCTATCGCTACCCTCAGCTGCAGAAGGATGAGTTGGAGCGTCAGTGCGCTGCTATGCTTGCCCAAGGCATCATCCAGCCGAGCACATCCCCGT